TCCCAGGCCTCCAATAAGACCAAAGACCTCGTCTTCATAGAGCAGACATTCTAGGACAAGTGGAAGTGCATAACATGGCGACAGAATGTATTTGTCTCATTCGAGGATCTCATACCAGCCACGGTCCCCACAAACAGGATGTTATAGCATCGATGCATTAAACATCTCAAAGTACTAGAAGAATGTACACCAATATAGAATGTTGTCATTATGATAGTGGGGAACATTGCCCACTACAGCTCTGACTTGCAAGCAGAAAGGGACAGACACATTCCTTTCTTCTTAGACATCTCATTGGAAGTAGGAGGAACATAGTCTATTGATTTGACTGACACACAACAGAAGCTTAATAAAATATAGCGACAGTTGTTAAAGCATCACTTAGAGGTGATACAGATGATTAAAGATTTAGGCTGGATTCTGCAACAAGAAAGATAGATTATAAATAACATGATTGTTAAAACTAGACTAGGACATCAGAAACAATGGGAAGAAATTAAGGAACCATGTAACAGCCTTTCTTATGTGGGCTATCTCCTCAACCTACAAAGGACTTCTCATGAGAGACCTCAGGGCAATTGGGAAAATCTACCATTTTCTATTAAGGTTATATTCATGGGTGTTTTAATGTTTATTGTGATATTGAAGGCATATGTGTACTATTTGCTCTAATCTCTCTGGGCAGAGAGACAACTTTGCTGATGAGACACAATGACCTGGCCTATTTTAAGCCTTGGGCAATATAATAGCCCAGAAGGTCCATTTGGTTCCTTCTTCTTCAGTTTTAGGGAGATTATTTCAGATGAAAAGTTCTAAAGATTCAGTCATAATAGCTGAGCTCACATTTAGGAAAAATTCTTAATACCTAGACAGAGATTGAGCTCTCTGCCTAGCATTACATTTATAGCCATCTCTAGTTAATTCTAGACTTGTGGTTGAGACAAAATACGGTTTACTGGAAACATCTGGGTAACAAAATAGCAGATTATATTATAGTATCTATGGATAGAAAACATTGAGAGGGGAAAGTGAGAAAAGAGCCAACCTCTTCTTGGGACTTCCCCCAGCTTGGGTACTTCCTCATAGAGCCAATGACTTCTCAATCTCTTCCTTTTTTATCACGGCTCTGTCTTGTCTTTGCCCCTCAAAAATGGGTTGAAAATGCCATGTTTACACCAACTTCTCAAATATAGACTCTCAGAATCTCTTTGCTCAGTTTTGAGGTAGAATATGTATGTGTGTGTGAGTGTGTGTGTGTGTATACACAATACTTGAATATATTATGTGTATGTATATATACATATATGTATGTATATACACACATATATACACACACTTATTGCTTGGGGCATGAATGACCCACTCTCTCACATGAAGGCTTTGATTATTCAGAGAGGTGTACAGGCCCAACTCACACTCAGTTCTGATTGTTTGATTCAATCAAAAAGTGTCCTCACTTAAGTTGTCTCCATAGACAAATGGGGTGGTCTCAAGCCCACCCTTACATAACAGTAAATTGCAACATGAAGAACAGAGTACAGGATTTGGTATCAGGAAATTCTATTCTACTTTTACGACCTTGGGCAAATTACTTAACCTCAGTTTCCTCATCTATAAAATGAAGGGATTGGACTGAATATCCTCCAAGGGTCCTTCCAGCTCTGAATTTTTTATCTTTTTATCTTAAATTTGTTT